ATTTTAGGTAGGGATGATTTTAAGAAAATTTTAATTGACACACAGCTTCCAATATTTGGCTTTTAATTTGGTTTTAAGGGGTTTTTTTGTTTTTTGATGTATTTTGTTTGTATCTGTTTTAATATGCTGTGCACCGCCCTGAGTCCTACGGGAGAAGGGCGGTATATAAATTAAATTATTATTATTATTATTATTATTATTATTTGGTGTATATGTATGCCAAGGTATTGCATTGCTATTATTATTGGGGATTTTTAGAGAAAGGTATTGAAACTGAAATTGCCAACATACTGCCTTTTATGAACATTTTTTGTTAAATACATTACAGGTATTTCTACATAAATATGGAGCTGAAAGATGACCAAGAAGGGATCCAATTGTCAATCAAAATAATCAAAGACCTAAAGAACATTATTTTGATAATTTGTTAACAGCTTATGGATCCTTAGTATCTTAGTAGACAACTGGAGTGTTTTGGTATTCTGTTGTTTCATTTTCTCAGCAATTTAGTAATGCAATTTTTACAAATGTTTTACTAGTGTTTAAGGCACTAGGCCAGGGGTAGGCAACCTTGGCTCTTTTATGACTCATGGACTTCAACTCCCAGAATTCCTGAGCCAGCTCAGGAATTCTGGGAGTTGAAGTCCATGAGTCATAAAAGAGCCAAGGTTGCCTACCCCTGCACTAGGCTATAAAATGAGAAGTACTGAGTTCAAGTGTCTCTTTAGACATTAAGGCCAACTTAGTCACTCTCTCTCAACTCAATCCACTTTACAGGGTTGTTGTCGTAGGGAAAATAGGAAAGAGTATTGTGTGGGTTTGCTGCCTTGAGTTATTCATAAATATAATAAAGGCAGGATATAAATAGTGTACCCTCTAAGCATTTTTATTTTTAGGCATTAGTCTAGTAGTTCTGCTGTTTGAATAGCAGCATATTCAGTCTTCATTTTATGTTCGTGTGTGGAAATAAAAATTGAAATTATATCTTTTAATTTGTAAAGATCTTTGCCCCCAGTAAATTGCATTTAGTTCCCTAGGCTGTAGGGCAGCTTCCCTTTCTTACCCACGTTATGATAATAATCATTATTCCTCCTAGCAATTAAAAAGTTGAACATTTACAGTCTGAACAATATAATCTACCATGTCCATACCTGCAAACACCTGTTTTTGCAAGTTCAGACCTGGAAACCTCTTGGCAAGTGGCTGGGAAACAGTCTAGGGATTTGTCACAGATGGGTGAACGTGACCGCCTTTACCTGACCCTCGATGTTTCAGACTTCTTTATTTAGTCTTTTATGTGTAATGCTAAGCTGTATTATGAGTTGATTCCAAAACAATCACTTGTTTTCCCAGAACAAAGAACAATGAACATAATTTGCTGTTAATTGGACTTGTTCACACCGTATTTTATTACATCTAATCTCTAAATATATGGTGTATCATTTTTGTGTCAGTATGCCACCCAGTCTCTGAGCAAGAGACGCAGGAGACAACACTCCCTAGATTACAGGGGTAGGCAACCTTGGCTCTTTTCAGGAATTCTGGGAGTTGAAGTCCACGTGTCGTAAAAGAGCCAAGGTTGCCTACCCCCCTGCCCTAGAAAGTAAGATTAACCCTGAAAGAGTTCTCCCCATTGTACGGTTTTTCTCCCTGGCTGCCATCTAATATACTTATAAGGAAGTGAACACAAAGAAAAGCTCCTAGAGCAGGGGTAGGCAACCTCAGCTCTTTTATAACTCATGGACTTCAACTCCCAGAATTCCTGAGTCATCCCTCCTGGCCTCGCATGCTCTCCTTTTCCTGGGCACGACCCACTGCATCGCCTCCTCAGCTATTGGCCAGCCGTCCAGCTCAGAGGCAACTTCTCTGAACTGCTGGCAGCGGGCTGCGGAGCCCCAGAGTGCGCCGGTCAAGGGGCCAGCAGGCTGTGGCTGCTGATGGACAGTCAGCCGCCATGTGCTTGCTGGCCTGTGTGTGTGGGCCAATGGTGTTAGGCAGCAACTGCCCTGGCCCCTGCCCCGCCTTGCCTCACCCTGCAGGACGAGTCTCCTGCCCACCGCACCACCTGCCAGAGACCTCCTAGATCACCCCAACCCTGCCCGCACAGGCGTCCCTCCCTATGAGCAACATCGAGGTGACCACGCCCACCGTGGCCACACCCACCCAGTGGGCCATGACCTTAGCCACACTCACCCAGTGGGCCACGCCCACCTGGCACCCAGCAATAAATAAGTGGGTTTTGGGTTGCAGTTTGGGCACTCGGTTCTAAAAGGTTCGCCATCACTGCCTTAGAATGTCTGGCCTTAAAACCAACTAAAGTGGAGGCAACCTTGGATCTAACCTAGAGCAAGCATTGTGGAATCAATATGGAACAGAAAATATCATATTTAGCATATGTCAATAGGTAATTGCCTGCAAGATCTGAAACACATTTGATTACAAATAGGGAACCTTCTAAAAAATGATGGCCCTTGTGAGAAGTCAGATAGGAAATTGCTCTAGCAAAAAATTAAATCTTATCAGCCAAACCATGTTCAGTGCCAGGGGACTGGGAGGTAGCCAACAGATCAATTTTAGAAAGAAGCCCAGGGGAGATCTGGGAAATTATAGGCCAGTCAACGAACATTTGTTACAGGGCATAGATGATCAAGTCTTACTGAAAACATGGATTTTACAAAAATTCAGTGTGCCTCATCAACCTTTAAGTTTTGATTACCATCTGTAGTGCATTTGATTTTCAAAAAGTTTTTGAAAATCCCCCTTCAATGGCTCTTATAAACTTAATGACCAAAGGGCGGAAAGGATTTACCTTTTTGTAGACTGCTAACAAAAGGAGTAACTGTCTCAAATGAAAAAAAGTAGGATGTAGAACTTTTGAAGTTTTTGTGTTGGGACCATTAAGTAAATTTGAGGCAAACGAGGAGTGGGTTATGTTTGTAGCTGGTACTATTCAGAGTGGAACTACCTTTTCCATGAATGGCAAATACCATTCAGTTCAAGAAGCTACAAAATAATACACACTAGAACACACACTCATTCCCACCCTTGTTTTAGATAGACATTGAATGAATTTGACAATTCAGTAGATAAGATTTTTGGGCCATAATGGATAGCACAATTCTCTTGTGTGGCAGTTGTGAAAGGCAAATTCCATACTATGGGTTATTAAAGGGATTGAAAGTAATAAAAGGTCAACACTGCAATGTTAAACAAACCGACAACTCAGATGGTCCTCAATTTATGATCACTCGCTTAGGGGCTGAAGTTACAATACACCTCCCCAGAGTGACTTGCAACCTGGTTTTAAAATTCTGATGGTGGACTTTCCCTGCAGTCAGATGGTAGCATTTTGGGTGCTTGGCAACCAGCCTGCATTTTATAGGATTCTGCAGTCATATGACTGATTTGTGACTCTTTTTTTTTAGTCAGAAAGTTGTGATTGCTTAGGATTTCTGGCAAAAAACAGCCATTAGGTACAACAGGCCTGTTTAATGCCATGGCATTCATTTACCAATGACAGCAAAAAAAAAAAAAAAAGGTTGCAAAATTGAGCACGGTCACAGAGTGACCTGCATAATAACTATGATTTATGGCCGGAATGCCACTTGCAATCAAGGACTACCTGTACTGTTTAGTCATTTCACATAGCACGTAACTTGTGGAATGTACTATTTCAAAATCCACTGAAGGGATCTACATTGGATGGCTTTATCAATGTAGTTTAGACAACTTTATAGAAGTCAAACTTATCAATGGCTATTGATCTTGAAACACCTCTGAGTTAGGGTAACAGGCTTTCAAACATCAGGGACGGGCGGGGGGGGGGAATAGTAGGACATGGGTAGATCACCTCCTGCTTTAAGCATCTCAAAGGCGGCTAGTTGGCTACTATGTAAAAGTGCTGTACTTAAGATCCAGCAGAGCTCTATTGTGTTCTTAAATGCTAAAGTACTTGGCAAGATATTAAGAACAAGATATTGCACCTCAAGCATTGCTAACCCTCCAGCATCAGAATCAAATAATTATTAAAGAAATGAGACACAATTTATATTACGGCATGTTTTCAGCTTGCAGTAGAAAGATACAAACTTATACAATAATTTTTCAGATAGGTAACCTTGCTTTCTAAGACAGCACAGACTTTTTTTGCTTTGCATTTTATAACTCTGCATGTTTGTTACAACTATTTAAGAACCATACAGAAAACATCCTCTAGCTTGGCTGAATTTCAGAGTTATGCTTCCTCACTCATACTACACTCATGTTCAGAAATTCCATTCAGATATAGTGAAAATAACTATGTATTAACAGATCATACAACATCAAAGCAGGGGAGAAAAATTAATAGCTCTCACAGCAGTAAATGAAACGTCTTACTCCAGTCTATGAATTTTGAGATTGTCTCTTTGCATCATACATTTGTATGCCGTGTCACTTCAAGATTATAAGAGTCCTGGCTCTATTAATATATAAAAAGTTATAAAAGGCAGTCAAAGTGGCAGGTGTCAGCTTTTTTTTAAATAAAGCTGTTTAGCTATTTAAATAAGGCTTATGAGATTATTCCAGTTATTTAAGAAAAAAGGCCTATAAAGTAATTGCTGATAATGAAGACTGCTGTTTCTTTCCTGCACCAGAAACAATTCCAAAATAAAAACATTTGCTTGTGCAAATCAGCAAAACATAACATTGGGGGGATGCTCATGAAATGATATGCCATCAACTTACATTCTTATTATCTCAGAAGAATCTAATGTTAAGTCTAAATTAAATTCTAATGCATACAACACCCTTCATTTATTCTAAAAAAATATGTACAGCATATTAATAGTATGCAATATGCAAAAGCCTTGTTGCTGATGGCAACTTTCACCCTTCCCTCCCACCTTATTCACATGTGTACCTCTACTAAAACAATTACATCACTAAGCCTGTTAGTTTTAAGGAAATTAGAACTTGTAGACTTTTGTGTAGGGGCTCCATTCATTGGATTCTGAATTGTAGACTTCAACTGTGTTCAGAAACTCATTGCCGTCAAATCCTCCCACTGCATAGATCATGTTGTTCACTGCTGCAAAACCAGCATTGCTTCTTGGTGTGGTCATGCTACCCTTCATCTTCCACTCATTCTTAGCAGGGTCATACATTTCCACACAGCTGACTGCACGGGAGCCGTCAAAGCCACCACCCACAAAAAGTTTTCCTAGGAAGCAAATAAGAAGAGAAACTTGAAGAACTTGTGTCCCGATAAATTCCCAAAGATGCAAAATCTCAATTGCCCCCTCCCCAAAAAGCTTAATACCTAAAGACTAATTGTATAGTAAACTAATTAGGTTGTTTGAACCTTGGACAAACTGTTAAGTTCTGCCAAATTGTTTTAGGTCAGTCAGTTTGGAATACTTCAGCTGTTCTGGGTTTGGGCTAAATACTCTTATTAATGGGTAAGGCTAATTTGTATTGTCTTCCTTTTCCCTCCTTCTAAGCTGCTCCCAGTACAGCATAACCTATTGATCCATGGACTTTTTTCTCTCCCTAGCATCTTTCCTCCTTCTCCACAGCAGCTGATGCCCTAGTTCAGGGGTAGGCAACCTTGGCTCTTTTATGACTCATGGACTTCAACTCCCAGAATTCCTGAGCCAGCATGGCTGGCTCAGGAATTCTGGGAGTTGAAGTCCACGAGTCATAAAAGAGCCAAGGTTGCCTACCCCTGCCCTAGTTTATTACTTCCCACCAGCTTCTGATTTTCTTGGTGCAACTATCCCATCAAATCCCCACACTAAGCTCTGATACCTTCAGTTATTTCCTATAAAGCCATTTCTGCCAAGAGCAAAGCGGCGTATTTCACCAGGGCATGGAACAAGGCACTCCAAAATAAAAGCACTTGAGTTAAGACATGGATTACTTAAATGCAAATGTTTCGTTCCGTGCAACAGTTAACGCACAAAATAGTTTATCCTGCAATTTATTCCACTGCTACATGGAATCCTACGCAGGCATAGCCCATTAATGTCACAACTATAGACCTCTGAATGGCAATAGGTAGGAAAGGCTTTTTTCAAGTGTTATTTTTGTAGCGAAGAGACAATTTGAAGTAGCTTGATTTTCAGATTTTTCAATCATGTATATGCACATATACATGTGCACGCTACACTTCCTATCTGTGTTTAACAAGCCAGTGTATCTGAAGTATCTATCTATACTCAACTTGATGTTGTAGTACAGAGGCTGATTAAAATAAAATGGAAGTGATGCTGCATGCTCACAAATCCCAGCCGTTAAAACGTTAAAGCCAAAATTTATAATATTTATCCAATCCCACGAGCTTACCATCAAAAACAGCAACACCAGCTCCGCGCCTAGCCACGTTCATCGATGCAATTAGCGTCCAAGTATTATTTTCTGGATTGTAACGTTCTACACTGTTAAGGCAATTCCAAGACTCAGCTCCTCCAATGATATACAAATATCCACCAAGTTCACATACAGCAGACTGGTGTCTACCTGTAAAGACCAAAAAAGAAAAAACCCCAATTATTTTAGCATCTAGAGTCTTGTCTAAGATTCTGTCACTCAGGCATTCTTGTAAATTCTGTTTTACTTTATTTTACTTGCAGCATATAGTTTTTCCTAGTTTAAATTTTCAGGTGCATAAACATGCCATTGGTAAATTCTGACACCTTCTACAGGCAAAACAAGTAAAATCTGCAAGAAGAGAAAATAAATCACTCCAAAATGTAAAGAGATTATGAACTTACGGATATTTAGCGAAGCACAGCTTGTCCAAGATTTTGTTATCGGATCAAAGACATCACAGTTTTTTAATCCCTTCTGTCCATAAGGATCTGACCCACCAACAATATACAGTTTTCCATTCAGTGCACATACTCCTGTTCATCCAAAAGGAAAAGAAGAAGTTACAGTTTGCAAGCTTTAAAACAGGTAGCTTTATAGAGCACTAGCTGTACCCAGCCACACGTTGCTGTGGCTCAGTCTGGTTAGCGTGTGTTGCTTTTACGTCCAACAGATGGCGCTGTTTTTCAAAAAAAAACCCATGTTTTTAACTGTCACAGGTGTGACATCTATATAATAGTAGGTATATAAAAACACACGCATATTCGAATGCAACGTTGTGTCAAAATTTCAAAGCAATCGGTGAAGAACTTTCGGAGATTTAAGATTTTGAACAAATGAACATTTACATTTTTATTTATATAGATTAACAGATATCTACCTGCATTGCAACGGTTAGTTCTCAGTTCTGGAACTTGAGTCCAATCATCTATTTCGGGATCATACATCTCCCCACAACTTAAATCATCAGAGTGTCCATTTGATCCACCAACAACATACAGCTGTCCCTGAGTTGTAGAAATACATGTTGTTGAGATGATCTTTTAAATTATATTATCTCTAAATCTGTGCATTAATAGAGGCTTTTAAATCGGTATAATGAAAACCATTAAGATAGCATAATGGCCTAGTATTAAAGGCTTATCTCAAAGCCCAAGATAAAATATTCCCCCGCTCTCCCACTCCAGAGAATCCTACTTTCCTACCTCCACCTAATCTAACACGCTGCAATTGTTAAACAGGTTTCAGCAGGGAAATGAACAGGTGATGTAACCATGACTGTTTACTTCACAACATACCGTCAGAACTGCCATCTGGAATCGAGCTCTTGGAGTCCTCATTGGTGCGATGAAAGTCCAGCAATCTGTCCGTGGATCATAGCATTCCACAGTGCGCAAACATTCTTGTCTGTTGTAGCCACCTTGTTGTAAAAAGAGCATACAAGAGATGTAGTCTCAGATTAGCGAAATAGTTTTTAAAAAGCTTAGACAATGTGTGACCCTCCAAATTTTTATGAACTCGAACTTTTGCTACTGTTAGCCAGCATATCTCCAGTTCCAAAAGAGTTGAAGAGCAACACATTGCTCACGGAGGTATAAGTATTATGGTGTTACCTGCAGCCACCAGCTTGCTGTTAAGTTCTGCTGTTCCCAATCCAGATCGAGCATACTGCATAGGCGACATCACCTTTTCTACAAGATTGTCTGGTTGAACCTCAAAACTCAAACTTTTCATCAATCGTGGAGTACTAGTTGGGGAACTCTGTGGACTGTTACGACCATGAAGGAAAATCACACAAAAGACACCATCCAGAACAGCAAGACACAAATAGGTGTTATCTGAAAAGCAAAACACACATTTCAATTCCACTACAACAAGGTTTTCACATCCTTCTCTCTAAATGTGTTATAATTCTAAATACTTTTAAATTATTCAAGGAAAAAGAATCCCTATTAAGTACATGGATAGTTGTTTGCTTCCTCCCACTACTTCTGCATTTAACATGAATGAAATAATCTAGAGTAAAACCAGCAACAACAAACTTTGGCTTACTTGAGGTCTTCTCTGAAGCAACAATTTTCCACTCGTGTTTAAGATTCTGCACTGCTGCATTTGGTGAAAGATTTCCAGAAGAACTGCTACTTAACTGCTTGAGATCATTCTCACGGAGTGGCCTTTTCTGCAAAATCAAAAGGCAGCTACAGAAACCTAGCCAAAGAGCAAAATTTGCTCTGCCTTTTTTTTCAGAACTATTTTTATTGCTGTGGAGCCTCATCCAATAGCACAGCTACACAGGTAAATTGGAGAACACAGCAAGATGAAACAGTTAGTGCTTTGTTTATCCACAAAATAACGTTCTAGTCCATTTAATCACTTACTATCCTCAACTTCACAGATCTACTTTCCGATAAAAAATACAATTCCTTACACTCTTCCAAAGTATATCAACTCTGGATTTTAGGACAGATAAATCCAATTTCAAATGAAATAGTTTTATTCCTTACATCAAGTCAGCATTTACCAAATTCAAGGTATCACAAACTGTATTCACACATCATACAAGCCATTGGTTTACCACTCACAAAACCGGGTTCACACACTGCACCAAGGCAAATGCTTAGCACAAAACATAAACCCAATCTAACTAAATTACGTATTTTAACACTATATAAATCACCTACTTTAAATCTGTATTATTTTTACTTTTCAATGGTTTAAACCTACCTACTGCACCATTTTCTCGCTAACATAAACTTTCTACCTTATTGCCTATAAGACTTATCAACTAAGATTAGGGGATCTAATTTTTTTTAGAATAAAGTTATTCTACAATACAGCTTCCTATTTCCCTTTCTCCTGTGCTTCTATTTCTTCTATTTATCCATATTTTTCATTTGACTGCTTATTTTAATAACCTAACCTTTTCTCCCTTTTACTCTTCTCCACTAAATTCAGTGGGATTCGACTTGCATAAGTTAACACCATTTACTCTCTTCAAATATTAAATGCTAGTGAAAAACTTACTAAATGGCCACCAAGAAACGAATGCCATCTCACTCTAATTCTTGTAAATTCAGAAATCACTCACAATTAAAATTGTTCATGAATTTTGTTTCAAACTTAATAAATTGAAATGTGAAAACATAACTTTATTACCAAGTCCAGAAAACAAGTAAGATTCTCATGAAATGAAACAAACTTTCCCACTACTTTCTGCCATATTTATCCAGAACACGTAATTTATTCCTGCAATGACAAACCTTTTTGCTCAAGTCAGCCCATTGTTTACACCAGGATTTCAAAATTATGTTATGATTTGATACCTAGCCACCACTTGTGACAGAAACATGTTCTATTCTCCAGTACTTCTGAATTGCCCCCGTTCTTTTCTCCTGAACTCTTGAGGAAAGGGGAGACTTGTTGTTCTGCCACATTCATCTTCTCAGCCTGTATAAATCTTTCAATCTCATGGAAGCTTAAGTTAAATATCTAATTCTATTCTTGGTTTCGCAGCATTTAGCATGTATTAAATGCATTATGGCATACCTCAAAACTAGATGAGCCAGGAAGACACAACTCTTCTAAGTTTGAATTTCCCTAGTCTTCTAAACTGGAAATGTCTTATTATACTACACAACATTGTAGTTGTGTTGTACTACTCTACCCAGCTTTACCTGAGGTTACCTCAGACCATGTGCATTTTGTACCTGCACAAACTGAATGTGGTCATCATCACTGCCATACACCTCAGCCTGTCCATCTAGTGGATTTCCATCAAGCAGCTTGTGATCAGCTGAGTAGTACAACGTTTGCACCTGCAAAACAACAGAACAGCAATCTGGCTATAGTCTCCATTGCTGCTTAACTAATGGTACATTGTATAGAAACTTCATAAGGATTCCAGGAGCGCAGCCTGATCTTCTCTCCATCTAGCAGAATGGCATTTTTTTTTTTAAAGGAAGGTTTCTCTCGTGACGACAGATCTTCAGACACTGGATAAAGGATCCTTGTTTTCACAGCTCAAAAGAAATCTTCTTGACTTCTATATTCCTTGCGTCATAAACATCCAAATGTACAACAAGTATAATGTACATTATCTTTCAGAATAAATTGTACAAATTTCTTTTTGCAAATCAGTTTTGAAATATGTAAATCAAACACGTATGTTTTATAAAAGGGATTGCAAAAAAGATAATGGAACTTTTCATTTCAGGAACTTCTGTCGCGCACTACTACATCTCAGATTAAATGTATTAATACTATAAGGGAAATTTGATTATATGACTGAGATTCTCAGGTATAAAAGAAGAACAGCAAACAACTGCTCTGGAAATTAAGGCTTCCCTTTGATGGCAACTCAATAAATTTCTCCAAACAATTTGAAATATGAATCTCCGGTGCATTTCATTTTTAACCCAAATGGTTGAAGTTATGTTCATGAATTAGGCTATTTAATTATACAAAACTTTTCAATTGTTAAAATATCCTGTAAAGAAGTAAACACCATTAAACATCATCATCGTTCTCTGCCCACAGCGAATTTTCATAGGAGAACTGGGGCAGAACTGCTGCTTCTTTACGTGTCATTACACTTGAAGTTTCTTCTATGGTCCTTCAGCGATGAGTATCCTAGTTTTGTTAATAAACCTATGGGGAGATAAATCAATGGGGAGGAACAACCATTAGAACCTTTGACCTACTTTCTCTCTTTAAGTAAAACCTGTAAAAAGAATACATTAAGAACAAAACAAGTTTCAAACCACCTCCCCAAATTTAAAATGAAGATAACTGCTTTATTTGAAGTTGTGTAAAGAAAACTGTGACAAAAACAGAAGACCAGCTCGAACAGTAGTTTAAGCAGCTCACCTGAAACCCCCCTAGTTTCTCAGCTTAGGGATACCTATAGTAAAATTTAAATTCTTCATAGCTTTGTTTTAAAGGGAACAAAAAAAGGAGAAGGGATCATCCTTAATTTCAGAAAAATGTAGTAGGTAAAGATGGTCCAATCTCATGTTCTTAAAACTGACCTCTTCCATCAGATCTTCAAGACAGTCTCCATTCTCCCAAATGCTGCGCTGTACCCAGTTGATTACCTTTGTGTACAGCTTGCCATTGCTGGGCAAGCTCACATTATCTTCAAGCATAACCTCCAGCTGAAATAAAAAAGAAAAGCACACTGAGCCCACTAAATCAACCCTAAATTCACACTAGTTAAGAGAGCCTACACCCCAAAGGAACATTGTAAATGTGATAAAAGATTTCTTCATTTCTGATGGGCTAAACTTTTACATATAATTTTTGTATAATACAGAACTTATACAGACTTTACATTTTCAACAGGGAAGAAAGTTATCAATGTAATCTAAACAGCAATTAGCAATTGAGCATGGGCATTTTTTTGCATTGAACACAGGCAGTATAGAAAGATATATTTCTTGCCAAATTCAGATTTACCATGAACCAGCTAGAAATATGGCTAACAAATGACAGCACATATTCGCTATCTCAAAAGATACAATCTGGAAGATATTTCAAAATAAAAAGCAGCAATGAAACTTAGCACTCTATGGCTATTGTACTGAATCATTCAGAAAAAAGCTTTGTCTAACATTTTGAACAATATATTTTAGCCTTCTGGGAACAGTTAAAGTAAAATAATAAATAAAAATTGTGTTAGTCTTCCTCAACTCTTAAGCCCCTGGTGGTTTTCAACTATGATGTGGTATGAATTGCTATTTGGTGTTTTAATCTATATCCGCTTTTAGTTACAGGTAGTCCTTCAGTCAGGAAAACTGAGCCCGGAATTTCAGTTGTAAGTTGTTGCAGTTGTTAAATGAGATACTATGTGACTGCAATCCTGGCAGTTAAGCATTTACACAAGTCATTAAGCAGAGTGTGGGGTGTCTCAGGAGGCAGTCCTGGGAGACCTAGCATGGATATATTGTAACTAATGAAGGTATGACAAATGTGGAAGAAATTGTTATCTGCCAAGAGAAAGTACTGAAAATACTAAAAATTATAGAGAAGGTTTGGAAAGAGTTAGGGTTTACTGGAAATAAAAGAGAAATTGGCTAAACTAATTAAAAGATATGTTCAAGTTATAAGATGTTAGTGAATTTCACTGTTACAATTGTGCAAATGATCTGAATTCTGGGCTTGTATGTTACAGCGAGCAACAGTAAATGACTTGGAAAAATCTATACTAAACATGCTTGTTATCTTTTCTTGTTGAGGTGGCATTGTTACAAAACTGCGTTATCTGCAAATTGTTTAAGATCACAAGTTTGTGCAATCAATATTCCCATCTGTGCTAAGTTAAGTGTTTGGTGACTTTCATGCAACTATTTTTTTTAATTAGAAAAAGAGAATGCTGCTAAAAGTATACTTGTTTACTTCCAAATGGTGTCATAATTGAATAAGAATTTAAATGCTTGTATATGTTCCTGGTACCAGATAGCTTGTTTGTCAAAAGGTTATTTCATGGAACGCTTAACTGAAGTAATTAATATTTATGTGAAAAACGTAACATGATGATGGATGGGGAAGGAGGAAATGGGATAAGTACCTTTAAACGTGGCAATTTGAGAAATTCCTCTTGGTCAGAGATCTGCAACAAATGCTCTTGAATGTAACCATCAATCTTGTTCAGTAATCGTAAATCACTCATGTTGCTTGCAAAGTTCCGATAAGAGATGCAACTTTCAACATTCATCCTGGACAGCAAATAATCTCCACAAACCTTTTTTTTTTCAAAAAAAAAGTATACAATTACGATATATTGTAGTTTGCGATTTCATTTTGTTTCAGATTTTCTCACCACAGATCCTGAGTCTGTATTCTGTAGTTTGGTTTTGAAAATGACATATCTACAATCAATTTACAAAAAAAACCACCACCCTTGAATGATACTGCCCCCCCTTGAAGTATCTTAGTCTCTTGCCCACTTGGTTTTTTTTTTCATTTTGAATATATTTTTCCCAAACTGTTCAACAAAAATATTTTTAAATATTTACTATAAAAGCCAGATATTTTAATTTGCTGACTTGAATGCTACACAATACAGTTCAAGTTATTTTTGGCTACATTGTCTCTAAATGATTTAAATTATTTTACTATGATTAAAAGAGACTTCTTATGGAGGTTTTAACAATGTGCTCTGCAGATTTTTATTTTACTTTTGTTGCTATGTGTAATTATGATTAGTGTCCAGTTTATCTATTAGGTATATCTTTGAGTACAAGAATATAACTTCTTAAAAGTTAACAAAAATATATTATATGAAACTGGTCCTAGAACTAAAGTGTAACAGTGTGCCAGCAGTTATTCATACTATTTGACTTTGAAAAAGTGTTCAGTTTTTACATTTTAAAGTATGACCTAGCTCAACTCTTTGGGCATTCATGGATATATTTGGGTATCCTGGTATCACCATGGAAATGGTTTACCAATTTCCTAGTCAATATTTCAGCTCCAGCATTCCCTAGAAGTTTCCTATGGTGAGTGCTAACTAAGCATGAACGTGCTCAGCCTCTGAACTCAGGGAAGTCGTTCAAGTTTTGCTATCTGCCAAAAACCCATTATACCTGTTTGACTCTCTCCATCTTCAGCCTCTTAGCTGCAGAGTACACATCTTTGACCAGTTCTTTATCAGCCTTTAATCTATTAAAATGATATAATTATTGTTCTGATTTATTCTGGACAGAGTATAAAGTAAAAATATTTGTAACAGAGAAAAAGGATCACTCACTGAGCAGTGTAAGCATAATTTAACAAGACTTCAATAGCCTCTGGATTAAGATCATCAAATTTCACGTGAGAAACGCCATGAGAATCATTGTCATTATTGAAGATTTCAAAAAGATAAGGACTGCAGCAGGCCAGTACTGCTCTGTGAGCCAACATCTCATGTCCACAGACCTTCATTAAAATAAAAGCCTACATTATTAAATTTGAAATAGAAACTATTCACCAAATTATGAAACTGTTAAGAGTAACTGTAGTTTGAATGGTACATGATGCACCAAAACACTTGGCAAAGCACTTTTATTTCTTCTTGTTTTAAAAATATTAAAACATTTCTATCATAAACACAAGTTTTAATTAAGACTTGGGACCAATCATGACCATAATTAGAAAACTGAAAGAGGAGTAAAAATAACCTCCGAGTAGTGTGAACGGATCTCACAATATGCAATAAAAGGCCACTTTATTAATGTCTTATTATAGTCCTTGAGTCATGACTGTAAGGGAGCCTGCCCATTCAAGGTTATAAATTGGGTCACCCATGTGACTGACCTAATTTTTTGCAATGGTCGTTAAGCAACCACCATGGCCATTAAGTGAACCCATAGTTCACAATGGGTTGGTTTGGCTGAAAAATGGAAGTAAATTCATGTTTTTGGCAAAACTGCTCTAACTTGTGGTCATGTGACCCCAGGAAGCTGCAAATGGCCACAAATGCAACCTAGATACTGAGCATTTGAAATGTGGTCATATGACTATGGGCCTGACCATCAGAACTTCAAATCCAGGTCATAAGTACCTCCGCCCAGGTAGGTCCATTATAACTTCAACAGGTTGCTAAGCAACCAGCTGTAAGTTGAGGACCTGTATCTATTTTTGAAATAAAATTACCAAAATAGACATCCTCACTTTAAAATATTTATTAGTATTTTAGAAAATCAGCATTAGCAGGCACTCTCTACCTGAAGCTTAACATCACAAAATTGGCCACTTTTGCGCAAAGCATTTAACTTGGCAACAGACGATTCAATGAAGTTTTCATCTTCAAACATCAAATACCCATTAGGAATCATTTTGCTTTTTCTGTGGCTGAAACAAAGAACAGCTTATGAGATTTAATATAAACTACTATAATCACAGTTCTTTTACACAAGGCCATCTTAAAATTATGCATCATAATGGTGTAAACTATACAGAAAATAACAATATGCAGGTCTAGGCAAGCATTGCAGTGAATTATGCAGTAAATTCTTTTCTCCCTTCTTGAATAGACCCAACAAGTTGCAAAAATGATACATCTAATTCAAATAGATACATTTTTCCCTTCTTTCATAATTTCTGGTATCTCCCACATTATACTGAATCTGTACCATGGGATTACATATTTAGTGTGTGAACTGGCATTATCTTTCCTCTCAATGATTATTTTTCAAGAAAAAGTAACCACCTCAGCAATAAGGACTTTTCAGAGTGTAGCATATGGCTAAACTAGCTGTCCCCTCTTTGCTTTCAAGGTCAGAAAGAAGAGTAAACCATGGAAGAATATCTTCTTTTCATGGATGGCGAAAGAGATGAGCAACTGTCCTCCAATTTATTTGTCTACTAAGACTTCTTTATTCGCCACTATTGCAAACTTTGGAGTTAAAATTCTGTTTGGTGTTTACATTTTTCTAGTATAGTAATTGCTTTCTTTTTTTACTCTGGATTTATAGTTTCAGAACATGGGAAAGTCTATCTACTTAAATATATACTGATTTATATTTACAATACATCACATGAAATACTATTTACAAGCATATATAAATGAATAAACTCACCAGATAGATTTATGCTGTGATTTCGCAGTTAGGAGACTTTCAACAATCCACTGTGTGTTATTACAGGGTATGTCAATTTATATTCTTTCTAAGGTGAACACTGGTTTGGGAAAAATGCATGCAGCTGTAACTTCTAAACTGTTGACTCCAAAACTATCAGGCTTTAAAACGATGTAATCAAGTCCTTAAAAGCTATAGACATGAATTTCTTCTGTGATAGTCATGCATCATACTCTGAAACAAAAAAAAAATCAATCAAACTCAAATATTAAATGAATTTGGAATTTCCATATATGTTATTCAGATTTTCTAGTTGTTATTTGAAGAGCAGATCTATAAAAGTTGCTTTTTTCCTTGTGAACATAAATCCAGAGACAATTTTATATTAAGTATATATTTTAAGATACAGCTACTCCACTTGAAAACTGAATCTTAGATCATTATTATAATCACTAAATACTATTTTAGAATATAATA